GAGCTGGGCTGCAAGAAAGAATGGAGCCAAGAATCCATCGCGCTTGCAACCGAAAGACGTGCTATTCAGTCAGGGCATGCTATTCCCGTGGCCAAAACTCGTTCGTGGTGCGCAATACGTCACTCGCAGCGTATTATTCAAATTCGCATGTACGGTTAAAGCGTATTTACTCTGTTTGTCTTTGTATTTAGATGTTTGGATTTTGTGTATCTTTAGAAAAAATGTCCGTAACAGCACAAAATTAAATAGTGTACACATGCTTAAAGATATAAAAATAAAGACATTAAATAAAATAAAAATTTTAAAATATTTGCCCATATTTTAAAATTTATATAATATATTTTGTGTTGCTTTAGTGTTGAAGGGTAAATTAATTTGTAAATTAGAGGGAAATTTATTTGTAATAATATAATTTATACCGGGTGTCCGCGCGAAAACTTTGGATTACTTTATTTCTGATGGTTTTAAGTTGAGAAAGTGGATTTTTTTGGAATGTGATTTTATATATAGATTTTATATTCAATTAACTTCATATTATTTTATCTAAATTAAAAATTAATTAAATAATTAAAAATATTATTCATTAACATTTGTGACCGGTGTAATATGGATACATTTAGGATAGTTTTTTGTGTTGCCTTAAATTCCTAATAAAATTAGCTTTAATATGAGGTCACACTTGGGATTATGTAACAATTTTGTATCCGCGCAGACACCCGGTATGTATATTGTTTGTGTCAAAAAACACTTGTGATCTTGCTTTAGGATTGAAAGGTGAATTAATTTAAAATAAAATAAATAATCTATATTTAAACAAAATTTATTAATAATAAAATACATAAATTATATTTATGGGCTAAAAACGTCTTAGAAAAAATAAGATATTAGAACAGTTATGTGGCAATTTTTTTCATCTTTCTTTTGCCTACAATTGGTTTTCTTAGCGATTTGTTTAATTCTTTGAGACGAAAATACATACGTGATCTAAAAAATAAATTTTTTGCTGAGTCTGAGCAATCAACATGAACACTTTTCGACACCAAGTTTTTGATGTAATTTTTGCAAACCAGTAGAGTATCTCCATTTACACTAGTAAAAATATTTTCCAGTTCCTCCATTTTTAAAAGAAATTCATCCGATGGTTTGCATAAACCTCCTTCATCCACGTGATCAAGCCAAGTATAAAATGGTTTGTTTGTCTATTCAATTCTGGAATAACCTAATTTGAAATAAATGTACCCTGCTAAATTTTCTAAGCCATCATATTCCAATTCGTGGAGTTCATGGGATATAACTTCATCTTGTTCATTGGCATTAACAACAATTAGTGGATCATTTACGATTAGGAGGGGATTATTACTAGTATCCAATTTATCTATCATTTGGCCACTCATGGGCAAGTCTGGAGTATCGTCTGCCTCTACATTGGAGAAATCTGAATATGCACCTTCATTTTTTCCCATAATATATGAGCGTAACCGGTATTTGAATTCTAGGGCATTGGGATGGTCATGGAGCCCTCCCTTTGCTCTAATTATACCAAAAAAATTCTCCAAAATGTCTTGATTTAAACGCCGAGTAAGAATGTATTGCGTATCAAACCTTCTTTTTAAATCTTCAAGCAAAAGTTTCAAGGCATTGTTGGACATCAGAATACCTAGTTAAATTTTCACAAATTATTAAAAACAAAACTAATTTATTCAAATTATTTACCATCCTGAAATGGAAGTAAACTTTTTCTTCCTTTTACTCTGATATTTAAAACTTCTTCAGACATTCGATCGATTACTTCATTTTGCTGCTCAACTTCCAGGCCATAACCTCGGTTCCTGGCTCTTGTGTCACTAAAAGGTACACTGACGTTAAAAACGTCAAACCAATCGTTTACCTACAAAATAATAAATTAATAAAAACAAAATGTATTGCAATGAAATTCTTACAGTTTTAAAAAAGTCTGCACATTCGGTCCAATTCATATCACCAGGAAGATATCCAAGTGTTCCACATCTACTAATGGCTTTTGAAATCGTATGGGAAAAGAGCTTAGCTGCAAATTTAACTTTTTGCCTTTGTGCCCCAACTACATTAAGTGTCTCTTTCGAAATTTTGTGCGTAATTTTGAGATCAGAAACGGCTGTAGCATCTAATGTGGATTCTACAACAGATTTGTTGATTTCTTTTCCATTATTATGAATAAAACCTTGATCCACAAAATGATTTCTGATTAACTTCAAAAGATGGGGCACATCAGCAAAGACATATATTTTTTCCCCATTGCAAGGATTCAAGAAGTGAGGTTTTGATTTTGAAATTTCCAGCTCAGTATGAAGTCCTCTATTTCCACCTCCTAAATCAGAAACCATGGCCACTACTGGAAAACCTGCAGAATAATATTTATTAAAATTTAAAACTTCTGATGAATTTTTAGACATACCTGAACTTTCCAAAAAATTGATGATCTCAAACAAAGTTTTAGCTGTCATTTTAAAGTCATAATCATAAAAGATTGGTTGTTTCCATGACTTAAATAGCCCCCTCATCATGACTACTTGTGCATAAGCAAAAGGCTTCACAATTTCATCTTCTAACCGATCATAGATATATTCTTTCCTGATTTTAATTTCATCAAACATTATAATGCAAACTCTATCGTTATTATTAAAATCAGAAAATTCTACAAGTTTAAAGATGTTTTTAAGAATCCCTGGTTGAATTTTAATCTTTTTTAGCCAAGCTCTTAGTGTGGAGACTGCAGGGTATGGAAACCCTTTTTTTAACATAAGCCTGTATGCTCTGGGTCCAGCGGCATATAATACAATGGAATTTGCAATTTCGGTAGTAGACCATTGAATGCGCTTCTGGTGCTTTAGTTTTAAGATTTGATTTTTGGAAAAAACCTTTTCGACGGCAGACAGTGTTTCTTTTAATTCTGCTACTTCTCTGTTTTTTTCATTTAGTGAGTTTGTCACAGAATCAATTGTGGTGGCAGTCACGTCAGTTTGCACCCTAAAATGTAAAACATATGTTAATAACAAATAATTAAGTAGCAAATTAGATGCAGAAATAGGTACATTCAAAACTACTTAAATTACCACTTATTATCATTAGATGATGTCGAAGGAATATCACTCATGCAAGCACCATCAAAATTATGTACCAGACTACTGCCCGAACTACTTAACGTACCATTATTTTTACCACCAGTACCATCACCAGACCTACTAATATAAAAATTACCAAAATTATGACAATGCCCAATTTTACACAAAGTTAAGAATATTGGTTTTTAAGGTTAGAAATTTTATGTGTACTTACGTGTTCAATAGTTCGTCAACCAATTGCTTTCTCTGCCTTTTTTTAATACTTGCATCACGTCCTGAAGCAGCTTCAGCAGGCTTTGCATGTACCCCATAGGGTAGTTTTAAGTTCGGCACTGCATGATCTTCTAGCGGACGATAACATTTTGGGGTATAGTTCAATAACTTATGTCGCAAATTTATCTTAAAGTCACTTTCAGCAAAGTGCTTGGAACAAACATAAGACGTTTTAACGTTGAACTTGTCTTTTCTTCCCGTAGCATGAATCCACTTTTTGCACAATTCTCCTATTTTCGGAAATCGGAAAAATTTTACGTTGGGACACGGATTTTTTTTCGATTCATTGTCAGAATGGCATCCGTAAACTGCACAACGCATTGTTTTAGATAATAAATAGTCAAAAAACATTCACAAACTCGTCTATTGCAAAGTAAATCACGTTAAAAACTAATAACAATGGTGAAAAGACGCTGCGAGTGACGTAGGCCAGCCGCTTAGGCTCCTCCCATTCAGGCGCAATATCTTATCTTTGTTAGTTATATCGTGCTATTCAGTGGTACACGGACGGTTCCAAAACCATAGAAGGAACTGGAATAGGAGTGTATGGGCCGAGAACCAAGCACTTGGAAAGCTTGGGAAAATACCCAAGCATCTTCCAGGCGGAAATTCACGCCATCGAGAAGTGTATCAAGTTTAACATCGAGAGAAACTATCATAGACAAGAGATTATCATCATGTCCGATAGTCAAGCAGCCATCAAAGCGCTGAGTTCTTACGTAATCAGCTCAAAAATGGTATGGAGATGCCTAGAACAATTGAATGAGCTAGGCGAGAAAAATAGAGTTACTCTCACTTGGGTCCCGGGACATAACGGGGTACAGGGTAACGAGATTGCAGATAGTCTTGCAAGGAAAGAGGCTCAAACACCCTTTGTAGGACCTGAGCCGTTCTGCGGTATCAGCAGTAACATAATATTAGAAGAGATTAAAAAAGAATTGGGTAGTAGAAGAAACGATAATTGGAATAATCTCTTGGGGCTGAGACAGGCCAAGATACTTCTGGGTGAATATAACCAAAAAAGATCGGAAGCCTGCATCTGCCTGAGCAAGAACAGGCTACGTATTGTAACAGGGATCCTTACCGGGCACTGCCGACTAAAAGGACACCTAAGTAAACTGAGAGTAGTAGAGGATAGTGAGTGCAGATTCTGTGAGGAGGAGGACGGAACCTCCATTCACATCCTGACTGAATGTGTGGCACTCCAGAATCCAAGGGCACTATATCTAGGAGGATATCAAATAGAAGAGGGAGACTTACCTAACTTGAAGCCACTTCAAATCCTACACTTCCTTGAGAAAATAGGATTGGAAGGGTCGCTATAGGCATTGAGACATTTCCTTAGTGCAGTGGCGACAGAAGGGGGCACAATAGATCTTTTAGGTCGCAGTGTATTAACACCCCATTATCAACATAACATAACCTTGTGTTTAAACATAAATAGACAACATTTTTAATATTTTTTGTAGTTTTACGTAAATTTTGATTAAAGTAGAATATTAAAACATTTAAATTTTACAGCGAACTCCAATTATGATTCTCGCTGACTCGTTTCGTTACTATAGAGTACATCAAGTTTGTGCTATTTAATTATTTAGTATGCAGTTAACATTTATGTTGTTTCAGGTACAATGCGTCTGGTTTTGTATATTTCAAACGTTCTTCTACTTCAATACTGCATTGGCCTAATACCAAGCGACTGTAGTTTCAACTCGATGTGCATTTGTTCTGTCAACGAACAAGATTACAATGTCAAGACGGTTCACAGCGTCAGTTGTTTGTATGTTCCGTTCTACAAATTTCCGAGTAAGTTTGATTTTTTTATATTATTTGTTGCTATTATTTTTTTTCTCAAAGCTTTGCTTTCTAGATTCTTCTGGATGATTTCTTGTTATTAAATTAAAGTTCTATTTTTTTATATTATATTTATATATTTCGGCCCCTAAATAAACAGCATTCTTCAGTGGGTTATATCAAAACTAAAACCAATCCCAAAGCTATCAAACATGAAAAAAAATATATTTATAAGTTATTTTTATGTACAAAAAATTGAACCTGGCGGATTATGGCATATACATTCAAATTTCACAGTCCCCATTGATAATTTAGATTTATTTTGTTGGTGGACTGTATACAGTGTGGTCCAATGAAAAGAACACACTGGAAACAGTTGGTCAAATAATAAAAATGAACGTGTAAACCAATTTAATTTTTAAAATATTATTAATAGTAAATAATAATGATTTAGGAAGTTGTGACTTTCCAGAAATACTTATATTTTGGAGTAAGGATGACAAATGTTAGGAGAGGGTTGTAACACTAAACTCGACTATTTAACTTCACTATTTATTATATTCGACTAAACTGTATAATGATTCGCACAATAATGCCCTATATCTAAATAAAACGCTTATATAATTTCTGGTGATTTCGACTTATCGCCTAATGAGTCATAGTACTAGATATTCCAGCGGCGTCTCTTACGGGGTTGCTAACACGGCCATCCTACGGTTTGTTCGTCCTCGAACATATGTACTATCTAAAACAAATAAAATGGGTGATGTTTAAGGGTTTCTAATATACGAACATAGTAGTCCAAGCAATGATACTTGAAATCTGTTATTCACTGAGGCCTTAATACCTGCAGCACTAATTGAAATAACTTTGAAACCACTGTAGGCCTTTATACCTGCAGTTTCTAACTTGAAATCACCGTAGGCCTTTATACCTGCAGTTTCTAACTTGAAATCACTGTAGGCCTTTATACCTGCAGTTTCTAAATTGCTATGGCTATAGGCCTTTATACCTACAGCCCCTTTTTGTGTATCTTAACTTTTACTACATTTTAAGTTGCTAGAGGCCTTTATACCAAAAGCATAATAATTGTATATTTACCTTGTTCTTATTTTCGAAGGTTAAATATCTTAATGTCTTCTACACAATATACTCCTTCATAAGCTATATTATTTTTTGATCTCTTCGCATGGATATCCTCTTTAACTTTATATCGGTCATTAGGCAGAACCTCTATAATTTTAAATGGCCCTTTGTACTTCTCTAACAATTTCTTGCTTTGACTATTGTTAGAAGGAACACTTGAAATTCTTACTAGAACCAAATCTCCTACCACGAATGTTTCTGCTGATTTTCTTTTCTTATTAAATATGTTTCTCTGGATTTTTTCATTTGCTTCTAAATTTCTTTTTGCTTTTTCTCTTAACTTGGTCACATCTGGGTTGTCACTTTCTTCGTCTACGTATCGGTCAGCCTGACTTCTGAGATTTATACCCAACATTATCTCGGCGGGAGTAGTCTCTGTTGTTTTATGCTTCGTACTGTTAATCCCTTGTTGGATTGCTTCTAAATTTGAGTCCCAATTATCGCTGGAAGTGTCAGCTCCCATTGTGGCTAATGCATCTAATAGTAATCTGTTAACTCGTTCTACTTGTCCGTTACCTCTGGGCATACCAACTGCTGTTATGTGAAGCCGAATGCCTCTATTTTCACAAAATTTATTGAATTCATTTGATGTAAAAGCTGTTCCAGCGTCGGCTACTATTCTTTTCGGATTGCCAAAAATAGAAAATATTTCTGACAATTGTTTTATTACATTAACAGCTTTAGTATCCGGAACTGCTCTGGGAAACACAAATTTTGTAAATGCATCAACAACAACTATTTCTCTTACTGCTTTCCACGAAGGGTCCAAGGTGGTCAATATGTAAGGTATGAAACGGTTTGGCATACTTTGAAATAGGATGAAGATAACCTGGTTTCTTTCCTCCTGCCGATTTGTGATATAAACAGTTAAGACATGATTTGATATACTTTCGAACAAAATGTTTCATTTTAGGGAACCAATATCTTTGTTTAATCCGTTCTACTGTTTTTTCTAACGCAAAATGACCAACATCATCATGATTCAGCTTTACCACCTGCCATCTACATTTCTTTGGGACCATCCAACGTCGACCTCTTTCTGTTAATCTGAAAACTCTATTTCCACGTAAATCAAATTCTTTAAAGATTTTTTTGTTGTTTTGCATGTCACCAGATAATAATATTTCTTTTATTTCTTTAATATTATTATCCTGTTCTTGGGCTTCTTTCAACCAGTCTTCTTCATTTATTAGTTTTATACTTAGTTCACATTCCTCCTGTGTTATTTCTGGATTACGACTCAAGGCATCAACGTGCTGCATCATCTTTCCTTGTTTGTGTTGTATATTAAAATTATATTCTTGTAGTGACAGTAGCCATCTTGCGATTCTGGGAATAATTGTTTGCTTTGACATGGCATTTTTAACGGCATTGCAATCAGTGAAAATAGTAAACGGAATCCCCAAAAGATAGTGTCGAAATCGTTCTAAAGTTCTTACAATGGCAAGTAGTTCTAATTCAAATGAGTGAAACTTTCTTTCGTCAGGAGAAGTTTTCTTGCTGTAATAAGCTACTGGTTTTTCTTCTGCTCCATTGAGTTGAATAATTATGCCTCCAATTCCTTCTTGGCTAGCGTCTGTGTATACACGTGTTTCTAAATTTGGACTGAATATGGCTAGAATGGGAACTGAGCAAATCATTTCCTTCAGATGGTTTACCAGTTCTGTATGATTCTGAGTCCAATTCCATTTCGAATCCTTTTTCAATAAATCTGTTAATATACTAGTTTTAGAAGCGTAATTTTTAATAAATTTTCTGAAATAACCAGTAAGCCCTAGAAACTGTCTTACCTGGTGAATAGTCTTTGGCATAGGGAAATTTTTAACAGCAACTGTTTTTTCTTCACTAATAGAAACATTATTATTGCTAATTACATATCCTAGGTACGTTATTTTAGTTTGAAAAAATTGAGATTTTGATAATTTAACAGTTAGACCATGTTCTTCAATGATCTGGAAAACTTTTTGCAATTTTTCTATACCCTCACTTATTGTGTTAGATGGAATAATAATATCGTCCAGGTAAGGAGTGATACCGACATTTCGAAGAGGTTCAAAAATTTCAGACATCATTCTCTGAAACTCCGCAGGGGCATTACATAACCCAAAGGGTACTCTTAAGTATTCGTAATGTCCCTCTGGAGTTACAAATGCTGTTTTGTGTGTGTAATCGGGGTGCAATGGTATTTGATGGTAACCCGACGCTAAATCCATTATCGAAAAATATGTATAGCCTCCAAGTGAATCAATAAGGTCTTCTATAACTGGTAGTGGAAATTTAATTTTTTCTGTTATTTTATTTAAAGCCCTATAATCAATAACTAGCCTTTTATCCCCTCCTTTTTTATTTACTAATAAAGCTGGACTAGCATATTCTGAGCTACTTTTTTTTATTATATTGGCGGAAAGTAACTCACCAACTTGTTTTTTCATGATATCCTTATCTGACTGTGATAACCTATAAGGTCTAAATGTAACTGGTTTGGATGTAGTAGTCTCTATTTTCATTATTACCGAATGTGCTTTGCCCAATTTTTCCATAGAGGAATATAAACAACTGTGAAATGTTTCAATAATATTATATAATTTCATTTTATCTATTTTATTTAAGTCCCCGTGATTAACTTCAAGTTGAAAAAGTTGTAAATTATCTGAATATTTAAAAGTTAATTCATTACCAATACGATAATAAGAAATTTTTGGATTTTCCGTAAAATTACGTCCTACTAAAATTTCAGTATTTTTTAAAGTATTAACTGTAACATATATTAAAATATTTAATTTACACCCTTCCATAGTTACTTCAGTTTCGACATATTCATTCACTTCGGTTACGTCACCATTGAACCCCGTAAGACGCACTTTTTCCTGTAAGTTTTTAACTTGTATTTTAAGTCGAATTGCTAAATTTTTCTCAATCAATGAACAATCACTTCCTAAGTCTATAAACGCTTGCATAACTTGATTATTAATAAGAACCGGTTTGAAAAATTTTTTTGCCTCTTTGTTAGTTATCATGTTAACGTTTTCAGTTTTTGTTAAATTTATTTGTTTTTCATTATTTTTTTCTTTTTTTACAGCAGATTTACAAGCTCTGCCAATATGACCTTTTATTTTACAATTGTTACAAATTTTGTGTCGGTGAGGACAATTATCACTAATATGTTGTCCCGTTATACCACATCTATGACAAATAATAATTTTATGATTCACCGTTGAAAAATTCCTTTGTCTTTCGTAATTTACTTTTTTAAATTTGTCAAAAATATCCCTACGGCCAAAATCTTTACTGGTACTAGCAACAGGTTTACTATAATAATTGTTATTCGAAACTTCAGTATATTTTTGTGGTTTTTCTGAAATCTTACAATAAACTTTGTTTCGCAAATAAGACCCTAAGATGTTTAAATCATTGATATTTGCAGCTTCTGCTGCTGAAGTAATATTTTTATCATTTATAGCACCCAAAACTAATGAAATTTTATCTTCGATTGAAAAATTTAGTTTTAACTTATCAATTTTTGCTAAGTGTGTAAAGAAAAATTCATATAAAGAACATCCATCTGAAGGCTTATGATTTGCTAATTCAATTAAAAGTGTGTACATATCTCTTCTAGAATGAAATGTCTCCATCAATTTGTTTTTCCAATCGGACCAACTATAACTAGGCCATTGCTTGTCGTTGGCGATTAAATTTTCATACCAAATTTTTGCTGTACCCTGTAACTTATTCACAACTTGATGGATAGTCTGGTGTTCGGCCCAATTAAATAATTTTACATTATGCTCTATAATTTCAATCCAACAGCCGATATTATCTGATAACGGGTTAAATTCGGGTACTGCATTAGATATAACATGTTTTTC